AAAGAATACGGAATAAATGGAGTCTTGGGAGTCCCACTCAGAATACCGCTGTATTCAACGGTATAGTTCATCTTTCAACTTCCGACATGCCGCATTCTATTCGTTCTGCTTGTAATGTGATTTTTCTGAAAGTTTGAATTTCCTGCACCTTACAATATACTAATCTGTTTTTTAGAAAAAGATCCCTTGTAGTTTTCAAGATATAGAGCTGTCAATAACACAGATTAAAGGTAGTAAAACGTATGCGTTTCATTTAATGCTCATATTTATTGATTATTAATAACTCTGTTTCAAAAATTCTATTAGGTTACAAAACATTTATGTATTAATCGTTTTATGAGATGATGTTTCACTAATTCCTCTCTTATAAGAAAGTTTGAACACGCTGAACCTATCTTTTGGAAAAATGATTTTACTTCATTATAGTCTTTTAGCCATTTCTACACACATTATCTCTGACTGACTATCATGATTCGAGGAGAAAACTGGAAAATCACGGTGATCAGAAAGAGTTTATTTAACTAAGGGAAGAAAGTATGATTTATCAAACGTTAACCAATAATACTGAGAGCCATATATCTCAAAAACTAAGAAGGGTCTTTTTTAGAAAATATATCAGTATATAGTACAACTTGTGTACTTCAGACTAGTATAACAATTGGAGATGGACCCTCTCTAGTTCATTTAATTTTAATCTGAGAAGTTGTCAGAATATCGGATGTGCACTGCTTCTTTTGGACATTGAATAAATGAATATATAGATTAAAATAGAAAATGTCTTCTTTTCTATAAAAAGAAATAAAGCGCTGTGCACATATATACGAGCACATAAGGAAAAAATATGGGACGGAAGAAAAATAAGATCAAAGGAAAGAAAAGTGAACGCAGCGTGTTTGATGTCTGTAGCTGAATATAGCGTAATATACCCTGAAACCTCTAACGGAGCCACCGGATTCAAAAAATGGAGGGGGTCCCGATGAGATCTTTGCGTCGTACAACGTAACTCATCGCGCTGATTTCGAATATGCAAAAATCTCGATTAACGCAACTCTAGAAAAAAATCATCAAATTTTGATATGACATCACACAGAAGCGAATTTCCAATGTATCGTCTGAAGATGACGCTCACATCAAATCATAGAAAAACATGAACCGAACAGCTGTGGAATTCACAAAATTGACACTTTTACTTTGGAGTCCAAGTTTTCTCGATAAACGTCTTTTTAATTCAGTTTGAACTTCATATTCGTGAATATGCAGTTGCAGAATACGAACAACAAAACAGTTTGACTTCGGGTGTAACGGCTATTTTTCTTACAAAAATTTGAAGCAATTTGTGCTGCTGAGTGAGCCTATACTTTTATGCAAACTTTTTTTGATAAAGTTCAGATTCTTTCTGGGATTCTGATCTTGTGAACCTATAGATCAGGCTACAGTCAATGAAAATAAGGTAAATAGAAATACATTACCTCCTCATACAGAGCTATTTTCCGGTCATTTTGAAGAGTTTTCGCAATTCAACTGATAGAAGAAAGTAGTTAAAAGTTCAAGAGGATCATACAAGCTTTGATACCTACGATTACAGATTACAGCGAACCTGTTTCAGAAAATTGTTCTGAAAGAAGTTTTGCTTCTGGAAACGTGTTTTCCGGTCTCCTCTTTCGAAAACCAGAGCTCTCTAGCGGCTTTCTAGAAAAAGTTATTCGAAAAATGGCCAGTCCATTCTTTTTCTTCTCAACAATATGTCGTTGAGCATTTAAACTAGATGGTTTGGCTGTAGAAGACACGTTTTATTTATTGTGCTAAAATAGAATACAAAAAAATGACGAGAATAGCAAGGACAGGGAACAATAAGACCGTAAATCGATTCCCCTTTCAAATCAATCTTAAGTTACCTCATCTGATGCAGCTTTTGCCCACGATTAACCCCAACATATTTTTAGACCGCAAAAATCATTTTCAGTGACCCTGGAAAACTTTCAGCAAAAAAAGATCTTTCCTCGTTAAATGACCTTTACTCAAAGTATTTTCATTATTCCACTTCATCCATCTAGAGCAAACACAATCTATTATACATCGTCCGATGGAGAATTTCACGGGCTACAGAATGGTATATAAGAGAGTCTTAAGAAAATGTAACTGGGTAGTCTATGGGTCAGAAACACTCGGTAGCATCACAGCAAACCGGTAGGGCAACGTGTTTCACGTTTATAATAATGGCTTATTTTCTCGTTAACCACTCTACTTTATATATCATTCTAAAGAGAATTTTACGTGCCACCAAATGATATATAAGACAATCAGAGGAAAGTGTAACTGGATAGTCTGAGCTTCGAAATACTCGGTACTAGCTCACCAAATCGGTGGGTCAACATCGTTCATGTTTGTACCATCGATTTAATTTGTTCTTGACCATCATACTTCATATATCATTCGATATCTATCGAAGAACAAATTAAATTGATGGTACAAACATGAACGATGTTGACCCACCGATTTGCTGAGCTAGTACCGAGTATTTCGAAGCTCAGACTATCCAGTTACACTTTCCTCTGATTGTCTTATATATCATTTGGTGGCACGTAAAATTCTCTTTAGAATGATGTATATGCACTCACATATACCTGTTCATTCTTCGGACAGATAGTCATCAATCATTTAAACGGGGAACAGCGGTAATTAAGGCCGTTGTTGACCATCTACTTACATGTTAACGATTTAAAAAGGTGCGCCATTTAATTCTCTACAGAAATCAAATTGTACATTTTTAATTTGTGCGTAAGAAAATGTATAAGTCATGTCACATGATAAAGATATCTCCATGATTTAAGATAGAGTCACTTTAAGCAAAAAAAAAACTGTCATTCAGATGATCAGTCATCCTTAGCGTAACATTGAATTTCAAGGGTAAATATCATTTCTCTATGCACTCACAAATATCCAGCCTAAAATAATCAGCTACTTCAGTTGCCACACTTTAAGGGTGAAAATCATGAGCACATTCGAAGATTACAAAACGCTGTGTACTTCTTCATTTCATTGATTTGACGAGCTTTAAAATGGACAAATTATGATTTCTGGCAAAATGCAATTACAGGATTTGTCTGTATGGCGAAAAAATCCTCTGACTTCTAGTAAAGTTTGAGTACAGGTATGTGGATTTACTCAACGTATTGAATAGTCATGAAGTGCTCGTATGACTTTGGAGTAGAGACCTTATCAGAGGAAAGTATCTACACTTTTCTAAATTCTAAATTAAAAATGAATAAAATTTGTGACGTGGACTTGATGATAACACCAGGATTTGTTTCCAGTGTGTCTCAACAGTTTTAGACAAAAATTAAATCATGGACATATCTTTGTCACATGACACGACTTAAGCGTGTTCTTTTTCAGTTCATTGTGTCTCAAGAGTTTCAGACACATGTATAACCCGAATCACTGGGAGAATGCAACACCTACTCGAATGCATAGAGTTTAGTCAACAATAGCCAGCTTTTAGCAGAATTCAAGAATATTCCAACCATCCGGCGATTTTTGAAAAAGTTTTCAGAAAGCCCTAAAAACCACCTTTTTCTAAAGTTCACATTTTCATTAAAATTTGTAAGGTTACCATTTGATAGAGAATTTTACACTGATTCAGAATATGCAAATTTTACTTTTTCGGAACTAGTTTTTCATGTCGAAAAAGCGAGAAAACTCAAAGAATCTTGAAAATCGAAAAATCCTTTCTGGGTAAAACATTTTGAATTTTCATTTTGTTTGACGATGGAGACTTTTCAAACTATTATTTTCTTATTCGACGTTGAAAAGTGAATAAAGAAATAGTATTAGCTTCATTTTGACGGTAAACGCCTGTGTATCATGGACGTTCGAATGGACCAATGTCAAATAAGCGTGAATCATTCTGTAAACCTATCTAGTTTTTTCTGTGAAGCGATGGAACCAAGTTTCATACGTTATTCGATGCGGCTTAACTCCAGCTTTAAAAGTACGTATCGCTTTTTTCGAAATTTGTTTTCTTTGCTGAGAAAATTCTTTTTTTCTAAATCAGGGGCGAAAAAGTTGTAATTCTGCGAAACGGACGAAAATCCTGTGGTGTTTTCGCTGGAAAAATACTTTTCCGTGAAGGTGCTTGGCCAAGACAAAAACCTGTTTTTCTAATTGCCCACGTCGAGCACATGCGCGATATATGTCATCCTACGTTCTGGAATCCCGTAGAATGGTGCAGCATGTACTCAAACTTTGAAAAACGACGAAAATCGCCTTTAAGAGCTATTTTTTTCTATCATCAAATGTTTTCTAATCGCAATGCGAATCCCTTCATCAGATAGAACGTGAAAAGACGCATCGAATGCATATTTTGTTGTCTTGTGTTGATATGATTTTACGGAATAGCTATTGGCACTCCCGGGACTTGTTTGTAAATGAGTTCTAATTCGCGAGGAATAAAAGTTATCTCAAGTTTCTCTCGAGTGTGATATGATTAAATGGAAGAAACAGTGTTAACCGACGTAAGTTCAAATGCTGCACATATATTCTGTTTTCCGAAAAACGATGCCTGGTTTTTTCAAAGAAAACGCTGCGTGTTAGGGATTATACGGTTACAAAGTTTACAACTCAGCGTTCGTAGGTTTTTTAGTACTCATAACGAAAGACTCCTTTTGTGAGAACAAAAGTTATTTGCTCATGTTGACATTTTTCTCTAGTTTCTAGACATGAGCGGTAACGGTAAAAGATTTTTTACTGAAGTTTACCGCGATAAAATTTTTAAGTTTTTACCGTAAACCGGTAAAGGTAATAAAATTATATTTACCGATTTTTTTTGGAAAATTGATTTTACCGAATTGTTAGCACTACTGTTTTGAATTTTTGACTTTTTTGGTAAACTGCCGTCGATTATGGTAAAACAGTTTTTTACCGAAGTTTATCGCGGTAAAAATTTGTAGCCAAAGTGTCGGTAACGGTAACAGGTTTTTACCGTTACCGCACATGTCTACTAGAGTCGCTAAGTCCCATTGAAGCCCATTGAAATAAACTCTTGATCACTGGTCTTTGTGCTTCTTGATGTAAGTGCATTGATAGTGTTTTTACTTGAGCGTACCACAAAAATGATACAATAAAGTAAAAGAGTTTAAAAGGTACAGTTAAATGGCTTACAAAAAAGACTGTTGACAAGTGTAAACTTTTGACCTCAAAATATCATATGAATCTCAAGTGATAAAACAACAGTAAAAGACATCTGTGAATTTAGAACATAAACAGTATTTTCAAAATTTAGTATTTATTTTTTAATACATCTGATAAATTTATATGTAGAATAAAAGGATGTTTATCAAGCTACAGTTTATTAAACAGGTCTCTTCTCTTATTATTAAAAAAGTCATTTCTCTTATCAAGTCTTAATTTAACTGTCTTGGCAAAAGGTCAAACAACATGGTTAACTGATCAACGGTGTGACGTCTGAGTAGCGATGGCTAAGTGTCGGTGCACTGCCAGTGCACCGACGGTTATCGGATAACCGTCGACACTGACGATCACTGATACACTGAATTACTGACACTGATGAACACTGACACACTGACGCACCGATACTGACAATCAGTGAAACACTGACCGTCACTGGCAGAATACCTGGGCAGAAGATCAAAAGACTTTCTGTGTCCATTACCATCATGAATCATGTGTATATTCCGTCGATGTTTTCTTTCTTTTTGCTTGCAGGCGTATGGGCGCACACGTAAACACTTCTCTTCTATCTAATGCACTAGTAGTTCGTTCTTCTTTTGCTTTCTCTTTATGTCTCAATCATGTATGATCTCTCTAGTGAATATGTGATCACCACATATTCTAGATCGTTCTAGTACGATGTCGCGTTGTTTTTTTTTATTTACGTCTGTGTTGTTAATCTATTTGCACTCCTTTTATCACGGAAAGTGTACATTAACAAGTATCCTTTCTGGAAAAGAGAAGAAAAAAAGAGACAGTAGGATATGCGTAGTTTGTGTGACTTTACTATTTGAAAACCTTTTTCTATGCTTCAAAGGAAGACTTTTTCTCACTTCAATTTTAGAAAAAAAAATTATTACTTCTCCCATCTAACAAAAATAAACAGATATTGAAATTGATCTACTTAGCTAGAGGCAGTGTGTCGATCTTCCAGTGATCATCAGTGTCGGTGCATCAGTATGTCAGTGCTCATCAGTGTCAATGTTTCAGTGATTGCCAGCGTCGGTGCGTCAGTGTGTCAAGTATTCGCCACTGTCAGTATTTCAGTGTTTCAGTGATCGTCAGTGTCGGTATCATCAGTGCCAGTATCTCCGCGTTCGCACCGACACTGAGCCATCCCTACGTCCGGGTGCATCTGCTAGAGAGACACTTATGCGCTTCAACATTAATAGCTGCGCCACAAATTCATTAAATGAACTTGTTAAATTCAAGGAGCAGACATGACCGTTCTTATTTGCAAAAGTCAAATTTCTCTGATAGACAGCGGTTACTGAGGTATTCGCTGAGGGCGCCACTTTAATCCTGTATTGTTGCAGTGTGGTGCCATTTCCTGGTAGTGCCAATAGCTTCTGGTTGACACTCCCAAACATTTCCTGGGAATGCCAATAGCTCCTTATTGACACTCCCTGGAGTGCCAATAGCTTCTCGTTGACACTCCCGGGAGTGCCAATAGTAACTAAGTAAATAATATATTATTTTATTTATTTTATGGCGGAAAAGTGGTTTAGAAAAAATGCCTACTTTTTTCAGGTCTAGGAGACCGCGATGTCGTTGTTTTAAACTCTTTTAAACGTGATATTCGTTATCAGGAGCCCAAGTTGTATTAGTTCTGCTACTCTCGAACAATTCGGACAGAGTCGATGTAAACTCTAGTACACTTTCGAAAGAATCATCCCGATACCTTATATTATGCACTCTAAGGTAACTGTGCAGATGGAACTTATACTGCTATAAAGCAACACATACACATGCACTATCCAAAACATTATGTAATAAGCTTAACTTAGGTTTATGCTGAACTTAATAATCAAAATATTCGAAGTCTAAACGTCGGAAAAAGAGTGAATGAAACTGTAACATTTATAAATAAAAATTATTAGTTTGGGAGGAATCAAATCATAAATATAAATCCTCATCACATATACAATGAGAACATGTTTGTGCAAAATAATTCGAAGAGCTCAGAAACTTTAAAGATGCGAATGCATTCTAAACGCTAAGATATTCAAAGTTGCAGTGACACAATATTGTGATTCATCCAGAAGTCTTAGAGGTATTTGTCTCAACTCGATCAAACTACTGAACTCATATCGCAAATTTAACGAAGCGCCGAAAAGTAGAGTTTCATTCTCGTTTTGAAACTAACTTTAATATAGTGAAGAAAAAGAGCTTTCGAATGTTATATAATAGTCTTGAGGAATTGTGAAACTGAGAGAGAAAGATGCCGAAATACGATCTATACTATATATCAGATGTAGTAGAAACTTAATCAAAGTTTTTTAATCGACCAGTTTTTTTCTGAGTTTTTCTGAGAGCGGTTCTAAGGTCTAGCAAGTACGTAGAAATAGTCCCCTCTTCATTCTACATCCAGCCTTTGATTAGACGAAGAAATTCAAACCTGGGCTGATTTTATCAGATTATCGCCCCCGTCCTGTACAGTACTGGATACAACGGACATGTAACATGTAGCATGCTAGTCTGCTAATGAAGCTTAAGGATGGTTACCGTACCGACTAATGCCATTGTGCTACTGAACTCCTCTTCATATCGATGCCATACATGATTCGATGGAGTTTTGTTCGTAGATCATGAATTTGATATTGGTGCACGTCGAAACATCGTAAAAGAATAAAGAATTGGGGAATTACTAAAATCTATAGCAATTCCTTAATTGTATAAAATAACAGAATTTGTCTTTTGGTCAAGCTACAAATATATATACAATATATAGACATATGGTATTGCTATGATGTTTCAAATATTGTTTCAATTTTCGTATACGTTTACGTTGTTCATTAATCTTTGCAGCTCACCCTGGCCGTGAATACTGATTAATTCTCTCCTTCGGAATAAATTTATCAACAGCTGTCAAGATAGTCTTATCTACTTTCGAAATTATTTTCTCTCTTACTATCTTTCTTTCGTCCTTTTTTCTTTTTCTTTATTGAAATATGAGGCGATAATAATTCTTCACTAGACACGCACCTCATTCAAAGAGGAAAAAGAAATGCTCTTATTCTTCTTGTTATTGCTTGTAGAATCATCAATTGTTCTTGTACATTCACAATTCATCGTTCGAAATTATGTTATTAAACAGGATTTGATTAATACACTTATCTATAATGAATTTTCTGTTTATGACTCCACCGAACGTAATCTGCTATATCGAATCAACACTCAATTCTCATTCAACCATCAAGCCACAATCAAGTTGATTCTGCCGCGCGACGATTTTATTATTATTGGTAAAACTGACGCTCAATTCGGTCTGTCATCGTTCTATGGAGCAACATTTCAATTGCTGAATACCCTCAACAATCGATGGGAACAAGGAAGAATTAAACAGCTACAATTTCAATGGGGACGATATGTGATTGAATACCAAGGCAGGCAAATTCTAATGGAAACGGACGATCGATCACCGTACCAGCAGGTATGGATTGATCTTATAACACGTCAGGTATATGCACAATATCAACGACGAGTAACTCTAGAATCACTGATGTGGCAAGCAACTTTCGATTTGAAAATATATACGAACGAACTGCCCGATACTTTCTATCTAATTGGTTTAGCAATTGTACAGCGATCAGCAAAGAAAGTTGCATGACTGTGATTCGTTTTTATGTTGAACTTATTTAGTATGATGTGTAATTCTCTTCTCAAACGTTTTTATTAAATGGCCTTGCAGAGAATTTCAGACTGTACAAAAAGCATATACTATCGGTCTCAAATTTAAGAACACAAAACTCCGTCAAAATTGATCCAGACTACTCCAAAAGTTCAACACATAATGTATTTTGTCTGATATACTGGTACAACAGTTAGATTGTACCAAATCTTGCAAGGCTTATACTTTTAAAGCGAATTCGAAAATTTTAAAGAATTCATAAAAAGAGTTCCGCAGCAAACTCCTGCGTTTTCATTTAGAAAAACGTTCGATGAGGTAAATTTCGTGAAAAAAACATCTGAATGGATACTGTCGAGTACTGTCTATTCGAATATTTTATTAAAAAAATATCGTCTTTTATACTATCAATAAATGAACGCGATGTCTAGCTGCTGATTTCTTCGGCTCTTTTTTTAGCACATAAATGCAGTCAGGCGACAACAAAGCCTACCTATGATGCTTTTACATGACTAATAGCACCACCACCATCGACATGTACCGTTGAGCTCTGTCATTTCAAAACTTACTTTTATTTGTGTGCGTTTCTTTCTAAAAACTTTATGAAAAATTGAAACTGCATGGTGCCTGCTAATCTGACTCCAAATGAGCTGCTGCTGCTGCTAAGTGTGCTTTTGAGGAATTGTATAAAGAACCGGTATCTGTCTAGAGACTTTGGGACTGAAGGAAACAAACGTGCAATTCTATTGTGCATCAAAAACTGTGTTGTGCAACGCTAAGAATTTTCAGATTTTAAGAGAACAGCGATTAGGTGCAGACAAAATTCAAATCTGATTTGTGCATATTTATAACTTTGAAAGCCTTTTCTTTTAGAAAAACTAGATAGGTTTACAGAATGACTGACGCTTATTTGACGTTGGTCCATTCGAACGTCCATGACACACAGGCATTTACCGTCAAAATGAAGCTAATACTATTTCTTTATTCACTTTTCAACGCCGAATAAGAAAATAGTTTGAAAAGTCTCCATCGTCAAACAAAATGAAAATTCAAAATGTTTTACCCAGAAAGGATTTTTCGATTTTCAAGATTCTTTGAGTTTTCTCGCTTTTTCGACATGAAAAACTAGTTCCGAAAAAGTAAAATTTGTATATTCTGAATCAGTGTAAAATTCTCTATCAAATGATATATAGTAAAGCCGAAAACAAAATTTTACTTGAAGTTCAAATTGCTGGCACCTTACAAAGACTATGTATGGGGAGAAAAAGAAGAAAAGATACGCGAAGGAGTACTCTACAAGGCGAAGTCGTACAAACCTGTGAAACATCTCATTGTGTTCAGAACACTCTCCTCAAAACAACTCACAACAAAACTACTATAAATTTCAAAGTAAAATGCGGCCTAAGAAAATTCTGATTAACTTTCTGAACGAAAAGATACAGCGGCATGCAGTTCTCGATTTCCAATAGAAGAAACCAGATACGTCCTTATGTAAGCAGAACTTCCTTATTTCAATCTATTCTTCAAAACGTAGAATGGCAATACAGACGTCTTGTGCATTGGTACACCAATACCAATCATTCTAGAAGATATTGTACAATATTATTGGCTGTCCAATAATACTGGGTCCCAATAATATTGTATACCCAATCTATTGGCACGAATAATATTGGTCAGTCAATAAGATTGTACAATATATTGGGTAATACTGGGTTCCACAACACACTGTAGAGCAAACATTTTTCTACAAAATGAGACATTCGGCAGTTCTACCTGCTTTTTTTATAACTGATTCGGAACGACTTTGCTGAATGCCCTAATATCGATCATTAATCGGTGCATGCCGAATTGGGTTATGTTTTGATTCAAAACTGGATGTAACGCATGGGTCTGTACTGTAAACTTAGGCCGAACTCTAGCTACCCAATATCTAATAATATTCTGAAAACCCAATATGTTGGGCTGACAAATATTATTGATTCCCAATATATTGTATTAGTGCATGCCTAATATTGCATGCTCTTTTATATGATGTTATGTTTTGAGAGAAAAACTATATATATGTCAGCTAACATCGTACAAAACAAGTATACATATGCTTACACATATGTGGTACATATTCATGCATATGTCGTTCGGGTTCACCATACTGGTTAACCGACAGAAAATATTGCTTCTAGGCAAAAAGCTTTTATAATAGCAAAGATAATGTGGGCATATGTCGCACGTATCCGTGGGCATATGTCGCACGTATCCGTGGGCATATGTCGCACGTATCCGTGGGCATATGTCGCACGTATCCGTGGGCATATGTCGCACGTATCCGTGCGCATGTCCAATGAACTTCTCGTGGTCAATAGCCTAGGTCTGACCAACAACAGCATAAAAGTACAAGATTTCTCATGAGTAGAAAAAAATCACTTTTTTGTTACAGGGGTTCTGGAAAACTCGTTTAAAAGCCTATTCTATCGATAAAAAAATTATGCCATTAGAAAGCAGACACTTTGGGTTATCCAACCATGTGCTTTTCTCAAAATTGATATTTGTGACAAAAATCGGCATTTCTGATCCAGGGGCCTTAAAGGGGAGATCCTGCCGCTCATTTTTTTTACCGTTTTGTGGAGGACAGTTTGAAATACAAATAGTAAAATGTTCGGTCACCGAATCTGTAGTTTTTGGGAAACAAATGCTTCCTCGTTTTATTGCCCTATTTTTAAAATTTCAATAAAACTTTTAGTTTTTCGAGAGATAAGGTTGAATCTTTCGTAATTCGATAGACCGTGTTGACATGTTCCAATAAAAAAGTTTTCATCGCTATCGGATAAGGTCCGACGGAAACATTTGGATTTGACTTACTCCACCAGTTTTTGAAATTCAGAAATTAGAGTTTTAAATGCAAAAATACGGTTTTAATTTTGGTTTAATTTTATGTAAAATCTAATTTAAAAATCGAGTCTTAAAAGTTTCAGAATTTCCCTTCGTGAGCCGATATACAGTTTGATACTGAGCATTTTTTGTTCGCACCGTTTTCTTCTATAATGCGTTCCTGAACCGAAACTCTATGCAAGGCTGCCATCTTTCTAAAATTAACAGGTGAATTTTCGACCCGTAATTTTTTTCTGAAATATCACAGCAATCCGAAAAGCTGAGTACCACTTTAGGTTACACGAATTTTTACGACCTATATGATAGAATATTTTGTAATTCTGAATTCTTTTACAATGTTTGATTAATTTTGGAAAAATCCAAGTTTTCAACGTTTTATTGTTACAAAATTTCATATAAAGTAAACAAAATACCAAAAAATACCGTTACTAATGTGCTCCTGGTCCATATTCAGATGTTTAGTAAATCTGTTATTTCTTCCTTTTGCTTCGGTGTTTTGTTATTGCTTAACTAAACGTTTCGATTCATTAAAATCTTCCTAACGGCCATTCCACGTAAGAGTCCACACGACTGAGCAAAGTCGAAAGCTTTCATTCAGTTACAAAGCTTCATGCTTTGTATATTGTCAACTACTGACGAAGATTTTAATTAGTCAAAACGTTTAGTTAAGCAATAATAAACCTACGAAGGAAAAGGAAGAAATAAAAGATTTATTAAATATTCTCAACTTCGTACATGGTAAACAGTGAAAAATAACTTAAATAAATAACTAATTTGTGCTATAAAATAAATATTATGATATGTATGTTTTCCGTCTGTGTTGTATGGCAACCATCGGATGTATATTTGTTTGAACTATTTCCTTTCATGAAATTTTATTTAAATAAAACGCAAACTTAGCCATTGTACGGACTATGAATTTAGTAAAACACATGAGTTATTGTAGAACACCTAGGATAATGTAGCAATGGTACTTACAGCAGACTAATGTAGATAAAGAAGTTTGAGATAGCTCTTTTTCTCAGATTAAGATAAAATTAGATCTAAAACCCGATTTTAGTGACTTCAGATGATCTATAGTCAGATAAGCGCTGAGAATTATCCAACGTGATATCGTCTGTCAAAAGATTCTGATGAAATATTTAACAATGTTGTGCAAGGCGCGGCGAGGCGATCAGTATTTTAAGGTTTATTAGGTTTCACCATTCAAAATCTGTCTTGAACAAATAGTCTGTAAGATTAATTCGATCTTCTCGGGGTGGAGACTACCAGAGACCGAAACGAATCGGGTCACGTTTGCTTGACCCGTTTCGATCTAACTCAGGTCAACATAAAATAAACTGCCCGAATTTCCCAAACCTTTCCAATCATAAAAGGAAAAAGTGACGGAAATCGTAAGGAATATGATCATTTTTTCGAAGAAATTTCAAAAAAATCTGACTAAGATAACTTTGCTATAGGACAGAAGTGTTTTTCAACATTTTCAAGTGTTTTTCAAACATTTTAAGGTTTCGAGTCCAGTTCGGATCATAGTTGCAAAATTTTCGGGTCCGTTCGGGTCGGGTCCACTCACGTTCGGATCCAGTCGGGTTCGGGTGATGTTTGGCTGACCTGTTTCGATCCCTAACGACTACTAAGTTGTATCCTAATCTGTGCAAGTGCACCTTGAGCTTAAACAGGGTAGCGGGAAACATCTTCTGTTTTGGAGAGCGATAAAATAGTAAGATGCCGCTTATTCGTAACTTTACCACAACTTTTTAAACACGAAGTGTTTCTTTTCCTATGTAGTTGTAAAATTGCATCTAATGATATGCATCTGGCTGAGCCGGTGAACCTTCTCCATTCAAGGGTTGTCGTTAGCTGGTCAAGGCAAGAATAGTTTCTATTCGAAATATTGTTTGCTCATTCATTTAATGAGAGGTTATTCGGGAACTAATTCATTGAATTCATTTCTCTCCGGACAAAAATCCAATCTATTCTTTGCTTCTACGTGACACCAACATAATTAAATTTATTACTGCCTACATATTCGCCATCTGGAGTAATAAACATCTCATCTCGAAAGTATACAAAAATAGGTTTTCTAATTTGAATGGAAAACGTTAAATCATCGGAGAAACTGAGCGTTTAGAGAAATGTTGCCAAGATTTTTCTTCACTTCTTCCTCACGAATAAAAGCTCTTTCTTTTCACACACGGCGTTTTGAGGAAGAACGAACATCAGTTCTGCTGTTTTTGTACCATTTAGTTTTGTTTCTGTTTTAAAACGTTTACGAAGGTTTGTTTATATTTATAAAAAAGTGTAATGCCACAGGTTGCGCCAGCAGACTCAGGGGGTTCTAGACTTATACGTCAAATAAACAAGAAACAGTGGATACTCATAATTGTGTCGATTTGTATAACGCTCATTTTTACCATAACTTTGGCACTAGTTTTGATAAGAAAAACAAGTAAGTAATTCAACAATTATCCAACAGAGCTTGTAATTAGTCATCTGGAAACCATTTCCAATGGCTTTTGCGTGCCCGACTCTTTTCGTTATCTCACATTTTACCCTTTTCTCTCAATAATTTATCCTAGAAAATCGGACATCGACTGGAACTACCTCGCCAATGACTATTTCCTCAGCTCAACCAACATTGTTTCCAGCAACCACCATAACAACCCAAACTTCGACAAGTAAGATGACATTCCAGAACGTCTCATACAATCCGCAAACTCTTTTCTTCGCACTGTCGGTTACACCTAAATATATTCTTCCATGATCATTCTATGTAGAGTAATTGGTTACTTTTCTTATTAGTTGTGTGCACAAATTCTTGTCAAAACGGTGGCACATGCTCAGGTAGCTTTATTGAACTTTTCAAACAAGCATTCACTAATTTTGAAAAACTTGTTTTAAGCTCATGGTACTTGCACATGCACATCTGGTTATACAGGCAGTTCATGTCAAACGGGTGAGTTGTTATCATTATATGTGTGTTAATTTTGTCTATAATTTGCTCGTTCGAACTTATTACAAGGCTTATTAATTTGCATAGGTGATGTAATGATGTCATTCCTATGAACTGGTTAGAAACTTTAAGGACCCTAAACGCACAGGAGAAAGAACTCTTCTATTTTACAGTCATTTCGATGAAACTTTTAGTGAATATGTCTTATAACAAGTTAAACTCTGAAAAACGTTTTCGGCCGGCTACATTGCTCTCAAAATACGGGTAGGACACGGATCAAGGATGAGGAGCCCTATGAGCATTTTCCTTTCGTAATGGCAATAATTCCAGTAAAAACCTATGAGGAACAGCAGGTACTAGATATGCCATTTGTAATTGAATTAAGTATATGATGTAACCCTAGTTACATTCGCGCTTTATTCTTGCCGCGATCATGCCGCAACCGCGAAGTTTGCGCGTTCCGCGAAAAATTGGCGATCGCGCATCAATAATTCTCCCGCGTCGCATTCGCGCTCCAAATCACGTCGCGTTCGCGATTCAGATTATGTCGCAATTGCGATTAAAAATAAATTGCGTCATGTTCGTGATTTACATTAGATTGTATCGCGCTCGCAACTCAGATCAGATCGTATCGCATTCCTGGCTCGGATCGCGTCGCGTTCGCGATTTAGATTAAATCGTGTGGTGTTCGGGGTTCAGACCAGATCGTATCGCGTTCGCGATTCAGTAAAACATTTATATGCAAATTAATAAGCCTTGTGATAAGTTCGAACGAGCAAATTATACTTACACAAAATTATCGCGAAAACATCGCACAGTAAGATGGCGCTTATTCGAAACTTTAGCACAATTTTTTAACATTATCTAACATTACATTATACTACTAAGTTTCTTGTTCCTTCTTCCTCAAAATCATGTTATGTTGTCTTAACCTCTTCTAAGCGTATACAGATGTTATAAGTTTGACAGTCAGGTGACAAGAGCCACCCTTTGTGTACCCTAGATCTGCTGGACTATACGATGAACTTGTACGATCAATTCAAATTTGGCTTTCGCAATGTCCGCACACTTGTACAGACGGGTCTATTTCATATTGCACTATTATAATCATCTTTCTCATGTCATCATTTTGCTCTTAATATACTTTTTCACAGTGTTATGCCTTACTTCATCCCAAGATTATATTATTGCATACTTGCATCTTAGTTTCTACTGAACGATCCCCACGCGACTGCAGTTCCTGCTACCGCTGCGTTCTTCTGCCCTGTTGTAGGGTACGATGATCTGATTACAATAACGCACTTCACTAATGCATTACAACTGTGGAAAATTCGTTATTTTAATCCGCGTGATCATATTCCGTTCGCAGGATCTTCCGTTGCGAACTTAACTAAAGGGGGTTTCGGGTCCCCGGCCACCGCCTGAGTAAAACAGCGCGTAGAAACGATACTCCAACATCGCATTATTACGACGGAACATCGACCAGTTTTCTCGTACTGTTGGAAAAAGCGACGTTGGTCTTATCGATGTCCGCGGTCATAGTCGCCCAGAGCAAGATATGATGATGGATTTTGTGGTATTAGCTGTAATCAGGCAGGAAAGACTACTTTTTGTAACACTTTGGTTTCGCTAGGGTCTAAAATTTTGTCTAGGAGAAAACATTGCACGAGGCTCAGGATAGTTGATAACCTATGCATTTCTGAAGGTCCCAGAACGGAGAATAGAGAAGTGCTATGGCTTCTTTCACCTATTATAGGTTTTAAGTAGGTGCTCAGATTTGTTCTAGAAACTAACGTTACCACGAGACTCACCATCCTCAATAACATATGCTTTCAACCATTTTCGAGCTTGCCAAAAGTCATGGGAAAACGATTCTGGAACTCCTGGGAAACTCGATGGCATGCCTAGACGATGGAAATGAAGAGGTCGCTTAGTGCTAGTTTAGTTTAAGCTGTATTTATTTTAAACAAAAGAAAAGCAAAAAGAAAGAATATATTCGAGAACATGTAATCTTAAAGATGGAATCAATAGAAGCTGTTATACCTTCTTCTTGATTACCGGAAACTATAGCAAAATAATATAAATAAATATCCTTTGGTGTTACAATACGCAAAGAGGAATAGCAAAATCCCAGTCACGAAAAAAAAGAGAGAGAGAGTCAGTCCGTGCGCGAGATTACATAACTTTTAGACGTAGTATAGTATTTATCTATCAACAGCAAATACTTAACAATTAAATGATACATAACACTATGATTATCTTTAGGAATTACGTTAGTTAACAACAAGTAGCGTTTATCATTCTGATTCACTTATCCCTTGACTGGAAATTAAGCGCCAATATCAATCGCTTGCCTTGACGTGCGTTCCCTAACTGGCCGAACTTTCTTCTGACCGAGCAGTTTTTTCTTAATGATCACTTGCCATCAGCTGAAGCTATTTTCGTTATACACCTCACAGACATGATGCTTCTCCTAGTTTACGTAATTACTAACCGGAAATTCTACTCTGTCCTGAACCACACATTTCTGTCTTGACCGGCGGTCTACGAATTCCTTTACTACTTGCTATCCCTCTTATTTTGAAGACCAATAATAAGATTAGATCTGCAACACCAAAACTAACTTCTTGTCAGATCTCCAAAGGAAAAAGTCGTATCTACGATTAAGTAATCGGAGCTACTTTTTACACCACTGCATCTTTCGCTACATTATTACTATAGATGTCTCATCAAAATTTACCAGTTTCTCTATACTTACCCTCATTTTCCCTTCAGAAGTTTCCCCTGGGCACACAATACGCAATGTGCTCACTATCTTTCGTATGTTAGGCACAGATAAGTGTGTCCATCTGTTTGCTAATAATCTGTGTGTCGCTAGTATGTAGGCTGCGGACATACATATAAACATACCGGCATTTTAACTTGAGAAAACTCTTTCCGGTACAATCAAGGGAATACCATTATCCAATCAAGTTGAAATGAAGTTTTCGACAACAGAATCGATCCTAGAAGTCGCTCATTTTCTGATTTCACGTAGTCGACTTGTCTGCACACGCTCGGACCCGTGACTTGAGGAACGTATATCTGACCATCTTCGATGACTATGAATCAAGGACAACGCTCACACCTGCCTTCGATCGGCGTTCGCTACGGGCCTGTCCACAAATATGCGTATGTACGTCCGCCAGACTAATGTTTTCCGCTGCTATGCAGCCCCATCTATCACTCTACATATCTACTAGATAATCCTCACCAATAGTACGTGTTTGGACGGACAGACACACTGGCGGGCATTCAACGCTTGCAAGACTCTCTCCTCCGACGGAGAGAATTTTCATGCAATTAAGTGGGAATAAAGTTCCGACCAACAGAATCCACCGTAGCGGTCGCTCATAGTTAGTTTCTGATTCCCCATAGTAGACTGCCTACTCCATGTCATTTTCATCCATTTTAGCGGAAATGTTGTTTTCGACCAATGGTATCGACCGTAGAGGTCACTCGTACTCATTTTCTATTGTAGTCTTTTACTATTCGGGTCATTTCTATCCAACGACTTAATTCGTAACATAATGAAGTGATGCAAATTATGCACTACTAATATGGCTTAAAATGTTCTTCTATTTTACTTAGTATCATACAATTCTAACTGCCCAGTAGAATACTAAACCAAGTGACAATTTCTATCTAAGGGAAATTTGCCCAGATATGGAGGCAAATCTGTGAAATAAAGACTGCTCTATATCAAGAAACTTGAAATATAAGCGACGCTCCGATTTGCCCTATACGCTAAAACATTCTCAAGCAGACGGAACCCTGAATAACTTCAAAGACCTTCGAATAGTCGTTACTTTATATCATTAGAGTTAGAATACTAATGTCTCATGTAACGATTTCTCCTTAAGGGTTATGGAACGCTGCTGCAAGCATGGTAACAGCACGTGGTTATCATACTGCAACCCTGCTCAACTCGGGGAAAGTTCTTATCGCTGGTGGCTACAGTTCGGTTCAGTATCCTGCTAGTTGTGAAATCTATGATCCATCAACGAACCAATGGAACTCTGCTGCAAGCATGGCAACAGCACGTGCTTATCATACTACAACCCTGCTCGACTCGGGGAAAGTTCTTATCGCTGGTGGCTTCAACTCGACCGATTATCTTGATAGTTGTGAAATCTATGATCCATCAACGAACCAATGGAACTCTGCTGCAAGCATGGCAACAGCACGTGGTTATCATACTGCAACCCTGCTCAACTCGGGGAAAGTTCTTATCGCTGGTGGCTTCAACTCGACCGATTTTCTTGATAGTTGTGAAATCTATGATCCATCAACGGACCAATGGAACTCTGCTGCAAGCCTGGCAACAGAACGTTCTTCTCATACTACAATCCTGCTGAAGTCGGGAAAAGTTCTCACCGTTGGTGGTTTGTCTACATCATTCTCTGTTCTTGTTACTTGTGAAATCTATGATCCATCAACGGACCAATGGAGCTCTGCTGCAAGCCTGGGAACAGCACGTGCTTATCATACTACAATCCTGTTCAACTCGAGCAAAGTTCTTGCCATTGGTGGTTTGTCTGCATTATACTATGCTCTTGCTAGTTGTGAAATATATGATCCATCAACGGACCAATGGAACTCTGCTGCAAGCCTGGGAACAATACGTGCTTATCATACTGCAACCCTGCTCAACTCGGGGAAAGTTCTTGCCACTGGTGGTTACAATTCGACCAGCATTCTTGCTAGTTCTGAAATCTATGATCTATCAACCGACCAGTGGAACTCTGCTACAAGCATGGCAACAGCACGTTCTTCTCATACTGCAATCCTGCTCAACTCGGACAAAGTTCTTGCCAGTGCTGGTGTGGGATTGACCGCTTTTCTTGCTAGTTCTGAAATATACAATCCGTGAATCTTCTATTATTTCTCGTTTTACAGGTGCAAGAGGAAGTGTTGAACCTGCTTAGTGTTCTCGCTGCGTTTGCCGAACATTGAATGAAATAATGTTTGTGAATCGCAAAGTTCGTTTATGATTTTGGACTGTTTTCGCTTACTTTTGTCCTAAATAAATAAACAGCAAGCGTCCCAGCGGATAATTTTCAATTCTTAAACAAAGCCATTTTTCAGGATCTTGAGGGCGTTCTCTATAATGCCTGCATAGAATGTTGCTAAAAATAACTGAGCAGTGTGTATTACATTCTGAAAATTTAGATAGGCCTACAAAAGAACACAACCCTTATTTTCCCTTGCCTCTTTCGCAAGTCCATGGTGGACAGACGTCTACCTCGAAATATATCTAATATTAATTTTTAACTCAGTTTTCAACGCTAAATAGGAAAAAATAATCTGAACGTTCCGGCCAAAAATCCAAGTCGAAGAAACTAACGCTTTTGAACATCCCGCTGATTTTCGAAATATTGTCTTTGGGTTTTGTGAAAAATTCTGGGTCCTAATTTTCGACAAAAGCCAAAGTCAATATTTCGAGAACCAGCGGGATGTTCAAAAGCGTTAGTTTCTTCGACTTGGATTTTCGGCCGGAACGTTCAGATTATTTTTTCCTATTTGAAAACTGAGTTAAAAAATAATATTAGATATATTTCGGAGGTGGACGCCTGTCAACCGAAATTGACCAAACGAGAAACTGAATCGACAATTTTGATCTTAACTGTGGTTGCAGATAATCATTTTATGCTCAATCGATATAGAATTTTCCGCTCTATAAATCTGTACGTGTTGTAGATAAAATATATTTTCCATTTGTTCGAAAAATCATGAAAAGTGACGACCTTCAAAAGGTGATACTGCGATTACATGAACGACTTGAGTAGCCGAC